TTTTTTAATAAAGAAGTGCCAAACATGGACTGCTTTGCCAAATACAGAGTCGCCACCTAAATATTTTATTTTTGGGAAATTTAGGAAACCCTAACTCATGCCTAAGGCCATGTGTCCGTCATCACCAAAGTTTCCTCGGCTCGGGAACTTGGGTACAAGAGGGAAAGGTCATGCAATGAGTACCCTCGCTCGCCCGATCAAAGATCGGCCTTCACTAACATGATATGCTGCTTTTGAAAACACACGTGTTCTTATTCCGGTTATTAACCTAGAATTACTATGTGATACGCACAGCATACAAGTATAGACTAGATCGCCTAAGTTGGAACAAAACATTTCATGTTCGTTTGTTTGAAAATGGTTTAGAGGTGCTACTCGCAAGTAGGCTAAGTCGCGGATTTTGCCGCCCTCAAGTGGGCTTAGAAAACATGTTTTTGCCACTCTCGAGTGGTCTTAAAACTCGCATTTCGATGAATTGTTCCAATTCAAGCAATCCAACCTTCACCCACAGGCATTTAGGCAGTTATAGCAAATAAGCAATTAGCCTCATGGCAAGCATGCTATCATGGCAACATACACATCTCATGCAGTATGCTAAAGCGTAAACACTCACAGCGTACTCCGAGCCAAAACAGAGAACTAGTTAGAAATCATACATGATCCTAGTTCATGTTAATATGGCTAATGCAACACATGCAAAAATGCAACAAAGATAGGCTCGACTATCCTAAGATGTCATGTGAATGCAACTTGATAACATGTACTCAAACTGATATTGAAATACAATGCAGTTAGTATGATGCGCCGAGCCCGGTGCATGTAATACGAATGAATGATGCACGAATGCATAGCATAAGGATGCTACATGCCCCAAAACTAACCATCGAAAGCGGTTAAGTAAAAGGGAGAAAGAAATGGGGGTTGGAAGACATGCATCACACGCACGCACGCTTATTACAACAATATGCCCTCTCGCAGGAGGGTCCGAATAATAAGCTAACTAGCTAATCTAAGCTAATTAAACTAATTATTACAAGCCAACTAATTAACTAATCCTGGTTAACTAATTATTACAAAACAAGCTAATTAACTAACAAGTTAACTAACTAGTTATTACAATACAAATTGAATAGTTAAACGCATTAATTAATTAGGTACAAAACGAATGCATTAGCTAGCTAAGTAAATGAGCTAAATAAAGCAGTAAAGAGATGTCCTCGGAGGGAGAAGAGTGTATGCATGCTCGGTCGCCTCGTTCGGAAATCCGTCGCGATGCCCTAACTTGCCTCTGTTTTCAATTGTTCTCAGAACACTGTACGAAGCTCCAGATAGCTTTTGCTCCACCATGAGAACCTGTAGGAGGGTGGCCGACCAGTTGTTGATGTGGGAGACCACCTGCCAAACACCTATGTTTGCTGCAGACCAGAAAAAGTGGTCGGCCAGCCACTTTTACTGGTCTGCTGACCACTTGTTGATGCACTTCTCCAGTTTGCTGCAACAGAGAACAAGAAGGGGCATGGTAATGTATTTGCAAGATATGTGTGCACAACCACCCTCCCCATCATTTCATGATCTCAAAGGAATACAGTTTTCGACTCTTGGGCCACCAATTGCGCATCTCGATGCATGACGGCCAAAGAGGCAAAAGTGCCCATTTTAATGTAAATGAATGCACACATAACACATAAATGCCTCAACTTGTATCATGCATGATCAAGAGGGTCGACGACCGAGAAATGAGGCACATTTCATCACTTCGAGTATGAAATGTCCCTCGTTTGTCGTGTTTGGATTAACACCCAATCCAAACAAATGCAATGCAATTCAAGCATGCTAAACACAATGCAATGCATGCAACATGAGCAACCTATCAATGCTAATGGCATGCATACACAATGCAATGCAACATAAGCAATCTATCAATGCTAATGGCATGCATACACAATGCAAGGCAACATAAGCATTTCAACACAAAGCAAACAACAATACAAGCATAATGAAATGCGACATAAGTATGCATCAACAATGCAAACCATAAGCATGCAAAACAAAATGCAACTAAAGCATGCAAACATGATGCTGAATGGACTTAAACTAAAAAGGGACAGACCTCAATCATACCCAAATCAGTGGCCATAATGCTAAAATGATGGCCTGAATTGCAAGGTAAATGCATGCACATGCAATGGCCCATCAACTAGGCCTAAGAGCACAACTCTCAAGAGTGCTCAAGGAGTGAAAAAAGTGGAAGTATAATAACACTATAAGCTCTGAAATTAAGTAAGAAATGGTGTCAAACCATCCAATCAAAACAAGTATAGCATACTAGAGTCCTTAAGGCATAAGGCTAGCAAAGAGGACTACCAAGGGGGGGGGGGCATGCAAGGAAACTCACTCTACATGAGGGACTCGAACTCCCACCCACTGTGTTTTATTCCAAAACAACTCCATACCACCTGGACTATGTAAACAGGAACACCGTGATCATAACCCCAAAACTCCCGCCCGGTAATTCGTATCGGTGCCTCCAAGTACAATGCACTGTTAGTGAAGTCCACAGCTGGGGTATAGACAACGTGTTGTGGAAGAGGTGTCGTGGTGCGGTTATGGTTGCTAGGATATGCGTGTCCCCTCCTCTCCGCAAAGCCTAGGGGTAGAGGTGCGACCAGAAAATGCGGCTGCTCTAGGTCCGGAGCAAGGCCAACGATATGGGTCGGTCCTATGTACCTCTCACGAGTGTTGCCTCGGCTAAGTCTTCAGAACAAGAAATCCTCATCGGGGTCGGCCTGCAAATACACGGGTCATCCCATGAGTCGATCAAGTGCCGGGTGGGCTTGCCTGACAAGACTCTCCGAATCACCCCAGCCCTCTAATAAGTTTGGGACAAGATGAGCTCTGGAGGGCTCGAACCAAAACAACTCCATAAGGTTGGCCATTTCCTACAACACAGGAAAACTTAGCCTAGACATTATAACATGGTTTACTTGTGTTAGACATACCACATAATATCAAATAATACAAGGTTAATAATTTTCTTTTTGAAATATATATATATATATATTTTGCAATTCAAATAATCTGATTGTCAATTAATGTAAATAAAATTAATGTGAATAAGTGTACAGGAAATTTCAAAAAATACAATTTTGTTTTATAATTTTTAAAAAAAAAAAAAAAAAAAAAAAAAAAAAAAAAATTAGAAAAGGGAAGGGAGATAGATTTCTATGTTTTATGTTTCCTCTAAGGAAGTGTTTGTTTGGATGGACTAAACAAGGGCGGACTGCAATATAATGGACTTTAGTCCTAAATAAATAATCCCTAGACTATTTAGTTATAAATGATATATGTATTACCCAATCTTTACTAAACTAACCAAACGATGGATTAGTAAATTTATTGGACATAGAGTCCAGTCCCGCACTTCAATCCCATGAAACAAACGACCCCTAAAAGTTTTCTACAGAATATGTTTTAAAACAACATTAGTATATCTTTTACTTATGAAATTTTAATGCACCTTCTAAGGACCATCTTAAACTTTCTGAAGTTTATGGAAACAATCTACCTTTAAACCTTCTGCAGTGCAATCTGATACAGGCCAACCATTATCTGGGGTAGAGAAAGGCCACCCACCCTTTGAAATGTGACGGTACCAGAAGCTAAGATTGCCTGAGCTGTCATTCCTAACCTTTAAGCCAAAATCAAACTCAAATTAGTACAACTCATATATTTAACATAATTAGAATAATTTTTTTATACATGATGAACATTGTTCACCAACGTTCTAACTTGCCTGTGAGATCCTAATGAACTCATGGGATTTTTTAAGCATTGAACCATATTCATCAACAAGATTGGTAGAGAGGATTGCTTGGACAGCAAAAGTAACATCCCATAATTGAGATCCATTGTAACCCTGACATTGAAATATTGCCTTTTGTTTTTTAGTAGTTCAAAGAAAATCTGTTAGACAGAGGTATCACCTTCCTTTTTTCACATTACTTTGTTTCATACTTGTAAGTTCTAATTAATAGCCAACGAGTGTGCAACAAGTTTAATTGGGAAAAAATACTTGATAGAAAACCTGCATTTTCATTCCATCTTCAGCCACCCAAAGATAATCTTTGATTCTTGAGAGGTGTAGCTGATTTGCCATTGAATTTGGATCATCCACCCAACAACATATCATGTTTAGTACCTATGGTTAGAAAGAACAACTTATGAGTATTCAGTACAATTCTTACACTCCCAAAAATAAAAGTAGTTTGTTATTGAGTGACAAGTAGATAGGCTAATCATAAGTTATTGAAAATATCAGATTGTCTATGTATACCAAAGTTTATTACAATTTAACAACCAAGGCATTCCCTTCCTAAGATATTCATGCTTAGGATTTTTTCGAAAATGCTTGGATATGCAAATGTTCGAAAAAAGAGATAACATGCACATATTAGAGATAAAAGTAAGTACCTTATTTACTGGTCCAAGACAGATATATTGTGTATTCTCATCCTCATAGTGAATATGTTCCATTACCATGCTTAATGCCTTTTTTCTTAGCCTATAGAAAGGCCATTGCATGAGAAGAGGCTCCCCAATCTTATGTAAAGAATCCCAAAGGATGTCTTGTATCATGGGATGTGGGTAGTACAAATCTTCCTGCAACACTAGATTGGATATTATAAATATTATCATGATTATTACATATTCACCTTAAACAATGGCATAATTATAAGTAAAATTGCATTTCATGATTGATCTCTGATTGAAATGCATCCAACATCAACGACAGGGAAAGAACAAATTATATTTTCAATTGAGATTAATATGCTAGAGTTGATAATGGGATGGTTCAAATTTGTTTGGTCGAGTTAATTTTGCCTCAACCCTAAATAACTAGTTGTTATATGTTGAAATAAATGTATAGAGAGAAAGAGAGAGAATAAATTGTGTATTGATTGATGTATTTAATGGTGTGTTGAGCTCTTTCCTTTATAGAGGAGAGGGAGAACAATTACAAACCGAAAGTAGAAGCACAAACCAAACAACATTATTAAAGGTACATTATTAAAGCATACTAATTATTATACTAACCTAATTATTAAAGCAACATTTTACATATTATATTCTAACATTATATTAACTTAGTTCTTTGACCTAGGGATGTAATTAGGTAGCCTATCACTAAAATTTGTGTACTAAGTTTAGTTGTTGATATCAGTATGTTCATTAAAGCAATATGGTGGAGCTAGTGGCAGGGAATGATAACTGAATTGATTAAAGAAATAAGATTTGATAATTAGTTTTGATAATATTTTATATTTTGGTATTTATTTTATTTTTGGTTTTTAGTTAGGACGGACTTGACTAGATCATGAAAATTTGTGGCTCTTGTGTTTTTCCTCCTTTATTCTTAGTCTTTTTGATATATTTTTATTTTCTCTTTTCGATCAATTCTCCATAGATTTTGATTTTGGGATCAATTGAATAGTTGAATAGATTTCTTAATAGTTGTTCAATGTCAGAGCAAGGATAAATATGTATCAAACTATACCTTAGCGCACAGGTATCTAGCTTGGTTCCAGTCAATCTGATGGTAGGGATGTGTATACAACTCTCTTCTCAATGATAAAATGGTAGCATTAATTGGCCCCACGAACCTCTTCCCATATAAATATGACATTGGTAGGTACACCATCCTACAATGACACCACATACGCCCTGCATAAAGTGGAACATCTTTTGTAATTTTGGTTGTTGATGTATTGATATGCCAATTTATATGACATATCTGTAAGCCTACTTACTCTCTTAATGTATATTGCATTCTTTAATATTGTGAAGCATAAATCCAAACACACACATTATGCACACATACACAACAAGATTAATTAAAAAAAAAAAAAAAAAAGGCATTTGCACATTTATTTACATACACATCTTGAAATGTAGCACAAAAATTAGTGTTGGTTACTATTTCACGTGCTTTGTACATGTCATGCCACGCTATCCCATCTGAAACATTGTTCACCATTCTTTTGATAAAAGTTTTTGTAATTATACTAGAGAAAATGCATAGAGAAAACAAAACCCAACAAAAAGTAGAAGTAGAGGGTGAATAAAAAGTGGAAGTAGAACCTGGGTGTATGGGAAGAAAGTAAGGTAGGAGCCATATCTCGGGGGGTAGGGGATTGTTGCCACTCCATTCATAAACACCAAGTACCTACCAAACGGTCAAGAATGCCCGCCATGTAAATCCCTCGTTAGACCTTAATTCTATAATAACAATTAAGATGATTATAATAATTACACTATCGGTGCTCATGCCTCATGATTATCATAATATATTTAGCACCATTTTAATATTCTTTTGTTCTTCTTTCCCATTCAGTACAACCAAATGGCTTTATCTTATTTCCTTGAATACATTATATCAACAATAAACTTGGAACAAATGTAGAATTAGTTTTAGATAACTTTTTAAAATTAGTCAAAAATTGCTAAGCAACAATATAACAAGAAGACAAAGAAAAAGAAGACAACAAAATTATACCGAGAACCAAAACTTCCCCCATGAAGGAATGTGTGTGACACCACCATGATCAAGAATCCATTTTCTTGCCTTCTCCATGGCTCCATCTCCATCATTCATCCTTTCTCCAAGCAATCTCAAAGTAACATAGTTGAGAGCTGTACAAAACATGGCACTGTTCCCTTCTATATGTAACCCCCAACCTCCATCGGAATTCTGCGAATATAATTGGATCATAGTCATTCTCAATTTTCACCCAAGAAAAAGAAGAAGAAGAAGAAGACATGTTAGCTTCAACACTCTTGCCCTTATCATTTTTCCATGTTCGTTCGGTTGTACTCTTGTATTTTGAACATTCCTAACCCCCTTTACCATATTAAAATTATCTCATCATATGTCCTCATAGTTATGTAGTATTTTTACTAACGTTAGACTGCAAAATAGCTTATGCTAAGGTTTAACCATAACTATGCAAGTTCAAACTCAAGTATATTTGCATTGTTTGTACCATAATTGCATAAATTGGGAGTGAGTTTCCTACTACTAATATTTGTACCTATGCATCAAAATGAAAAGAGACAATTACCTGATGATTATATAGGTAACGACAAATTTCCAGTTGATGCTCTTGTGGCAAAATTGTGTTTAAGGCTCCCATGATAGACAAGCTGATAACCTTTGAAATGATGAGATCAATACTTTAGCAAGCAAGAGTTGGGTAAATAATTACAAATAAATGGAAGATCAAATTTTTATTATCATGTGCAAGTTTTTACGCATTCGATCCCTTGTAATTCAATGCTACTAGTAGCATATATTCTCTATTTATTTATTATTATTTAGATTGTGGGGTGAGAAAATAAAAGAAATAATTGTGGTCTCTCATTTAGATGAGAAAAGAAAAAAGTATGATTGTATTTACTCACTATCATGTTTGGATGAGTAAGAAAGCGAAGTATGTGGTATAGGAATATGGATGAGATTTCTTTTTCTTCTTTTGTATTTTAATGAGCAATCTCGATATTATAAAAAATATACAATCAATCAATTTGCATTCCACCAAAGCTTACCACTTTAGTGAGAAATGGAACTCATAAAATAGAAGACTTTTCTTTCTTTCCATTTCTTTTCATTTCCCACCCAACTTATAAACCAAACATGAGAAAAAAAGAAGTTATATATATATATATATATAAATATTTTCATTCCGTATCATTCTCATCAAATCACTAAATCCAAATGGATAGTAAAGAGGAAACATTTCAAAATTTAGTTTAGGAAAAAATTTCGTCAAAGCACATGGATGGAAGGAAACATTTCAAAATTTAACATTTAAGTGATTTGTGCCCCAACTTTGTAAAGAGGAATATTTTATGATTTGAACTTAATGCATTTACTTATCTACTAATGCAATAACTTACTGCATTTACTTATCTACGAAGGCAACTAACTGGGTAGAGGCATCAAAGAGGAAAGATAAGAGGTAATGTGGTTGCCAAGGTCAAAGCAAGTTACATTCAGATAAGTCAGCTTATTTGCCACCAAGTCCTTCCCCGCAGTCAAAGCCAAGATGGAAAGAGGAGGGTGGACACCGGTGACTAGGAAAAGAAAGTGCTGGAAATTGTGTTCATGTATATAATATGATAGTGGTGTTGGTGGTAGATAGTGGCATGTATAGAATATGATAGTGGTGTTGGTGGTAGATAGTGGCATGTA